TCATATCTACAGAATGATGGTTTTCGTTAATTTCAAAATAAAGGGGCGCCCACTAGGAATGCAGTTCGGTACCCAAGACTAATTCAATCCAATAAATACATATAATCCAATACCAAACACAACACTATAACAGACCCCTCAATTCAGAAGCCAGCTTCCTCAGATGCCAATCTGCAGCAATTCAGTATGCTTACATTAATGCAATGGGAAAAAACTTAAAACAACAAATAGACTAATAGCAACTTAAAGACTTACAAAACATGTAGATGGTATCATGAGCTTTCATGGGCGCAACCCACTTCTTCAGATGACTGGAGATTATGATGTTGATTAAGGTAATGAACATTAAAGATTTAAACATATAATGATCTCGGAGAACGGGTTTAGAATGATCATTTGCATTTATTTGTCCTGATGCTACATATCAAAGAGCAAGAAAAAATATTTGTAATGCAAGATTATTATGATTATATATCTATACAAGTGCTTTCAGTCTATCAACCACAGAGTACCTCAAACTTTTACTAAAGTATTATATAAACATTACACTGAGAAGCATAAACCAACACCATGTAAGGGCAACCACTGCACTATACTGTATCATTACAGTTTAGCATAAGTATTAAAGGATATTACATCCAATTGAACTTACAAAAGTTATTAAGTGTGGCAGGATAATCAACAAAGTTGGAATCTGGCTAAGAGAATAAGGCTGATGCCCCATTCCATTGTTGCATGAGTAAAAGTTTTCCACTGTAGGATCAAATCCTCCCATCTATGTAGCACTGAACTATGGCTAATGCTCTCCAGATCCAAGATGACATCTTGCTGTGGCAATGCAATAGCATATGAAACAGGACTGGGCTGGTAGAATTGATACAGGGGGTCCCTGCTATAAGTCGCCCCAGTATGCATCCCTTCTGCACTAAAGTTGTTGATGCTTGTAGGAACTGATGTGTGATAAATCCTCCCTACTCTTTTTACTACTCTTAAATTGCACACACACACACAAAATTGTGCAAATGGAAGTCAGCCGCGGGGGAAAAAAATTCCCCGCTTTAAGTTGTTTCACTATACGTCCAAGTTTTTTTGAACGTATCTTGGACTTCTAGCAAGAATAGTTACTACAGAGTTTACAGGCCACTGCCCTTTATTGAGCGGGTATACAAGCTTCTGCAGAAGGGTATGATTTTCAGAAGTGCACTCAGATATTTTTACATAATTTTCTTCAAGTTTATGAAATATTTTAAGGGCAGTGCATAATTAATAAATATACACCTATAATATACAGCTATTGACAGCTATTAATTGTTTTGCTAGTAAAATAACTGGATAAATTTGTTTTTCCTCTCTCACATATTAGGCAATCTGTAGATTAAGAAAATGGAAAGAAAAAAAATTATGTTGTTCAGCATCTTTAATTCATAGACCTGAGGGAATGCAGAGGAAGTATTTGACACTGCATGTAACCTATGTCATTGACTGCACCTTGGTGAATGACAATATAGGTTGGACCTCCTTTGTCTGGCACTCTTGGGACCTGACCCATCATGATGGAGGGAATTAGCCAGATCAGGGAAGTACTGCCACTGGCCTCCCAGGACACTCCCCCTCACTATGGCTGGCTCTTCTCTAGCCCCACAGCCACTGGGCTCTAGCCTGCAGGGCTTGGACTTGGGTTCTGACCTGCCGGGGCTCCCCAGGGATGGAGCTCCCTAGCTGTAGCAGTCTTGCTTCTTCGCCACCTGACTGGGAATTCCCAGGAAAAGGGCTTCCAGTTGCTCCACATCTGCTGCACTCCACTAGAGGTTCTTGGGGACATGGCATGCCAGCTTCCCTGCTTTTGCTGCTGGCTGCCCCACTGTTGTCCCATCCGGCCAGGGCTCCCTGTGGATAGGGCTTGTTGGTTCCACTGTTGTCCTACCCGGCCGGGCTCCCCGGGGTCAGGGCTCGCACTCCTGGGCACCGGGGCTCTCTGATCCAGCAACACCCGTGCTCCAGCAGGTTCAACCTCTAATACCTTATCTACTTACCACTGAAAGTCTTTGGCCAAAGTCCATATTCGCCTGAAGTCAACAACCCTTATTTTCTTTCTTTTGTCCATGGTTTGCCTTTAATCTACTACTAAATGAATGACCGGGACTTATGGTTGTAAATAACAGGTGGGTTCTTTTGTAGAAACAATAGTCTTGATTCAGAACTGTGGCAGGAACATGCCAATGTAGTGTTTTGACCACTTATTGTCCATTTCATACTTGGAATATTGGATTATTTTGATTTTCAATGGCATGCCCTCTTGCCTACTGTTATTTTTTGAGTAAAGAGCTATACATATTACAGAAGAAGGAAATATCCCTATGTAAGCAACTGCATGTTTTAAAAGTGTCATCTGCACACACACCTGCTCATACACCTACTATGAAGCATGAAATCAAGCAGATTACTCATGGCAGTTATCCGGAGTAGGTGTTTGCAGTAATTCATAAAAACCCTACTTTGAGTCCCAAACTAACCTTTGGGAGTTATTTATTGGTATATTTTGTGTAAGACAAGAACAAAAGGGAAAAACAATTAACAAAAATACTGAGCTGCCCTCCATACAAAAGGCTGTAATTTTGTCAAGATTATCTGGAAGATTATCTATTGTCTGGAAATGGGTGACAGGAAAGAGATCACGTGACGATTACCTGTTGTGTTCCCTTCCTCTGGGGCATCTGGTATTGGCCACTGTTGGCAGACAGGATACTGGCCTAGATGGACCATTGGTCTGACCCAGTATGGCCGTTCTTATGTTCTTAAAATATTCTAGGAACATCAGAATCCACAATTAGAACTATAACCCTAAAATCTAATCCAAAAGCCACTGAAATCAATGGGTAACTTTCCACTCACTTTAGTGGGTGTGGGGTCAGGTCCATAATGTGGAAATTCCTGCATTAAGGACAGTACAGTTCAACCAAAGATGAGTTTGTACATTTATGATAGAACTCTATTTCATGTAATACACATTCACATTAAACTGATCTCAGTGTTATATTTCTGAACATTGTGTTTTTTTTTTTAAAATACCCTCCTCCTTTTATTCCTGTGCATTCTTTCCTCCTCAGACCTTCTTCTACTCTTCACTCATCTTTTTCTTAACCTCTTCTCACATGGTCTTGCCAGTGCTTCCCAATTTAACTTTAATGATCTGCAATGTGATTTTTCAAATGCTTTGTCCCAATTTTGCTTTTTGCTCCATCACAACCACAGGAATTTATCATTTATCACAGAGTTGGATAAATGGCTGCTTTTAAAAATTCCATACACTCATACACATATACACACATAAAGATTTATCTAGTGCTGTTCAGGTCCTTAACTTAATTTTTATTTAAAAGTCTCATGTTAGTCTGTAACTTAAAAATAATAATAATAAATAATAAATAATAATAATAATAATAATAAAGCAAGTGGCCTGTATGTAGCACCTACAGAGTAACAAAAACTTTATTTTTTGTTTTTCTTCATTTAAATCATTGTTGCTGGGTGGGGCTGGGGATGAAGGGTTCAGTATTCAGGCTGGCCAAGGGAGAGAGGACTATCCCAGACCTCTCTCACCACAGCAGCTTAGGGCCAGGTGAGAAGTGCCTGTCCATGGCCGCTGCAGCTCCAGTGGGCACAGCCAGGAGAGGGGTGCATGTCCTCCATTGACATGGGTCCAGGTTCATCTGCCCCCTGCTCTCCCCAGCCAGAGTGAGTAATGGAGCAACTGTGCACATTCCCCTTGCTCCTTGACAAAGGGGAATGTTTCTAGTAATGTTCCCATATGAATAAGAGGGAGCTGCTGCCCCCACCACTTGCACAACCAAACCCTTTCCTCACTTTAACTTATGATCAGAGGAAGCTGCATACCAAATCTGGTGGTCCTAACTCTTACTGTTTAGGAGGAGTTCTTGAACAAATGGATTGACAGAAACTCACAAACTCTCTCAAATATACAGCAGATTATAAAAAATCAGATTTTAAAAGGAATGTTATTAGAGGGTTTGTTTTTCTGGTCACAGTTTTTAAAATCATGACGTAAATACTGAACAATAAAAATGCAAAAAGCCCATTAAAAATAAAATTATATGCTTCTATTAGTTATAAATCGGCATGCACAATTTTGTTTCCCTTGTGGAATTTTTTTATTTCAAAATGGTTCATCTTTTTTCTTTTAAGAAACTCCATAATTTAGGTATAACATTGATCAGATTATTTGAATTCTTACTATTTTATATGCTCCATGGGACTTCAAAGGGTGTCTGGAAGCAATGCTAAGGAATGTTGCCTGTGCATTCCTTGCATGTTTATTGTTACATTAGAATGATATAATGGTCACATTATATATGCAATGTCAGGACAATATAAAATTAGAAATATTCACTTTCCTTCTAGATTATCAGATCTTTTTCAGTTACACAGAAGAATGAAACCTACATCAAGACCTATTCGAATAAAAAAAAAAACAGTTAAGTACATTTCTCACCAGAAACAAGACATGCATATACCACAGGGAAGTTCCTTCAAAGACATGAAGAATCCTCTTAAAAGAATGAACATCCTGGACACAGAGAAAAACACAGTGGTAATAATACATTAATAATATGTCTAATTTTAAAAAAAAGAGCTTTTTTTTGCACTGACCCCAACCCAAATATACAGTTATACAATCAATTATTTGAATGTATTGTCGACAAAGAAGCCACTGGAAAAAAAGAAGATACATATTACATGGTTATCTATTTCATAGTGAAGCAAAGGAGAAAGTTCTTTAATATATCTTTTGTACATCTATAAGCCTCTTAAGGTCTTTGTAAATACAATTAAGAGAAAAATGTGACTACTCAAAGCAGATTAGAAATAAAACAGTGCAACTCTAAACAGATTAAAATTACTAATTTAAGTATATAGAGATACAGTTCCATAAGAATAAGACCTGTTACTTTTTAAACCAGAAATAATATCAGAAACAAAACTCATGACAAAAATCACTTTTATTTTGTTTTTCATAAGAAGATTCATCTTATTGAGCGATACATCATGAAATCGATTGTTGTACATCTAGGAAATTTACCAATAGAGCTTTCTTCCACGGGAGTGTACACTTTAATTTGTCTCATGTGAGTGTCTCTTCCATTCTGATGATTGGCTAAAACAGCAATCTGAATCATAAATGTACGAATAGGCTTCTTATGAGAATCAGTTAAAGGAACATGAATCCAACCACTCGGTTCCACTAATTCAAGTTGCTACAAAAAAAATAAATAAAATAAAATCAGAAATAGTTTTAATCCACTTACGAATTACCACAAATATTTTTTAAAAAAAATCTGCTCTATAAAACACAATCCACGTGTCAGATATGGCTACACTGTTAAAAACCAAATTTGAAGAAATGAACTTTAATAATTCAAGCTAAATTCCCTGCTGATGCAAATAAGAACAAAACAACTGATTTCACTGGAGTTGTATATGCATACATCAGCTGCAATTTGCTCTTTAGTTGATGTTTTTCTAATTTAAAATAAAAAAATTAATTGAAAATATCTGAAAGATGGATATAAAGTTATTAGTTAACATAGTAAAAATGTTAAATTAAAGCAACATGGTTCCAATCCTCAAATGTAATACATGTATTGGAAAGAATTTGGGACAAAATGTCAACCTATAAAGCTTCTATTTGTTTTACAATTCTGATGCAGCTAATCTGAACTCTCAAAGGATGGAATGAATACCTTATTTGAATGTCTACATAAATCTATGAGAAGTGAGGATTCCAAAATTCCTCAGATTTTTGTGGGGAGGGAAATACAGCAGAGATTGAGAATAGGTGGAGGATTTCATTATGACATGTAATGTGGGATCAGCCAAGTTCTATGACTGGTGTCTAAGCATTCCAATGTAGCCAGTTAATCAGATCTTAGTATGATGGCCTCCATTTTAACTTGGCAGTGACAATAAATGGAGTAAAGTGCAATATAGTCATTTTTCCTCTTATCCTACAAAAACTGTTGTCAAAGTGTGAAAGTGTTATAATCAAAGTCTAAACAATGTCACCAATGGCCAACATGTGAAAATAAGGGATGTAAGCGAGTCGTTGACTACCTGATAAGCCTAGGCTTATTGGGTAATCGAGTCAATTAGTCACATTCCCTCCCCCTTGATGCCTCTGTACCAGAGACAGCAAGAGCAGGGGGAAAGCAGGAGCCAATGTTGGGGGGGAGCCAGCTTAAAAATCGGTTCCCCCCAGTACTGGCTCCATGGTGCCACCTGCCCTCCTCCACCAGGCTGCAGGGGAGGCTGCTGCGAAGCATCCTCTGCCCACGGCAGGCCCAGGCTCGCTGAAAGCCAAGGCACGCAAGCCGGAACTGAGCAAGCCTGGCTCAGTCTCGGCTCACAATGCATCCAGGAGCTAAAGCCAAGGCTGCTCCGCATCTCACAGAACAGCCCCTATCCACAGGGAGTCCTGGCAGGGAGCCAGAGCAGCCTGTGTTTGCAGCAGCCAGGGCTGGCTACCAACACAGCCTGCTATGGCAGCAGCCTGTGTCTGCCGGAGATGGGGAACCCAGCTTCGTACTGGGACCTCCCCGCTATGGACAGGGGCTGCTGGACCCAACGCAAGCCGGAACTGAGCAAGCCTGGCTCAGTCTCGGCTCACAATGCATCCAGGAGCTACCCCAGCTGTGGCTCTGCATTTTAAATGTAGTAGGAGCTGAGCTGCTGAGTGCCTGGCTCCTACTATATTTAAACTGCAAAGCCGCAGCAGGAGTAGCTCCTGGACAAGCACTTTCCCTTATCAACTAATCATGTGGTTGATACAAAATGTGTCAATTACACAATTAGCCAATTATCCTCCTCCTAACATCCTTTGCGTAAATGGGGCAAATTCTACATGAAAAGTTGGGGAACAACTAATCTGATAGATATCTTAAAGTACAACCCAGAGAACTATGGAAGAATGTTCAGTGCAAGGAAGTTCTGAAGTAATAATCAATCCAGAAGAAGCAGAATTCACACTGATAAGCAAATGGAGTTCTACATTACTAGTATGTTTCTACTGTGGATCATTTGTGTTTTCAATAGCTCAAGATTGATGGCATGCTCCTGAAAACGTTAGGTGAATAATATTAAACTTATCTTTGTGGCAAGCATATTTTCTGCCCTTTCTAAAAATCCTACAGAGCAACCAATTTGAAAAACACCCATTTAGTTTAGAAATAATCTTCACTGTTATGGACACTACCATTACATACACCCTGGGCAAATCCTAATTACACCTAGAGAGCTACAAAAGGTCACAGCAGAACGGGGCTGTTTCTCTAGTGCAAGGGAAGAGTGTCTGGGTATACAAATAAAACTGTGTATGTGTATATGCCCAAAACAAAACAAAAAACAAAACCCAATATTAGAAGAACATTATGGCTGCAAAGTCAAGCACTCACATGTTAGGAAATGCCAGAATGAAGATGGTCTGTGCATCTTAATTCAGTCCCCTCGTGTGAATGTATTATGATACAGTCTTTGTAACTACATGATCACATCCTATTTTTTCCCCACAGGACCTGTGTCTTATGCAATACACCTGAAAGACCTGTTCTGGGGGATGAATCAGGGGTATAATAAAGATGACTGTTAAATGAAGTTAGTATCCTACAGAAGTTGGAAAATGCATAGTGAATGAGGCAGGGGACTGCAGGACTAAAAAGGAGAGTCTCATGGACAAGGCAGTTGAATGATGCTTTGGGGAAGTGGATTCTGTCCCTGTCTCTGCCACAGTTCTTTTATGAGGTCTGGTAAACCATTTAATCCAAACTTTTCAAAGATGGTTACTAATGATGTGTACCTCAGTTTCTGGGTGCCTGATTTAAGATCTTGTTGTCTGATTTGCAGAAGTTCTGAGCACTCACAACTGCAACTTAAGTCAACTGGAAGTGGACTTTAAACATATGAAGGGCTATACAATAGTAAGTACTTTGAAAAATCAGGTTGTAGGTGTCCCAAATTGAGCTCCAAATTAGTGGTTACCTGTATCAAATCTCTTTGTGCCTCAATTTTCCCATCTGTAAAACTGAGACAATAACCTGCACTTCCCCCATATCAGGGTGTTTGTTACAATAAATTGTTTGAGAAACACTTGCATGCTACAGTGCTGAGCCCCATCAGAAACCCATAAAAATTTCAAGAAAAAAAATACTGAATAGCTGTTATTAACTTTGAGCATGATCCATTCTGTGCACTGAATGAGGCAGGAGTCATGTGGAAAAAACAGTGTGCGATCCTGTAACTGAAGACTGTTTACAAAGGGGGCAAATTAAAATTGACAAAAAACAAAAACAAAAAACAAAACAGAACACCCCCCACAAACCCTTCATTCTGGCATTCCCTAACTTTTCAGTGCTTGACTTTGAAACCTTAACATTCTTGTCACGTAATTTTTTGTGTATAATGTAGGTGATTTTAAAACAAACGCAGACACTCGCACGGGCCATCATCGGGACTGGTACATGCACTTCACAGAGTTCTCTCACTGCACTACAGGAATAAATGATAGCAATAGTAGGCTGTTATCCTCCATGTGGATCAGCACTATAAGGGATGGGACACATTGATGTTGGGTTCCACAGATATTTGCTGACATCACAGGAATGGTACAACTCTGGAATCCTGGGTCCCATTCCAGGTTTTGGCAGAGAGGGTGCTCTGCTGGGAAATGACACTTCTCCCCTACATCTAATATGGCCTCTTTGACCCCATCCCTCCCCACCAGTCTTCATTCTATCTCTACCCCAACCTTGATTCTTTGCCCCGGTCCCATTCTCTACTCTTTCCTATAGAGCTGTCCACAATTCAGAGATTTTGGTTTGCTAAAACATTTGATATTTATTTTCTAATTTGCTTTCATTCCAACTTGGAAGAAATGCAAATTTGCTGAAAAATTTTCAGTGAACTGGAGATCCCTAAACACTTGATTTTAGAAATATCAAAGTATGGTGTTCCTGAAACAAACAGACAAAAATATCACATTCGCATATTTTCACAGATACTATTGGGTGAATAGTAGCTGCCAAATTGACAAGAATGTCAGTTTCATTAATGCCCAGTGGTTGGAGCCTGCCAGCTCTGGGAGCTGCTAGGCACCTTGCTTGAGCCCCAAAATCAGGAACCTCTGTGGATTCAAGACTCTTGTGCGTATAAGCTGCCAACTTGGGAGCGAAGGATTGGGCAGTGTACATGACAGGGATGCCCCACAACATTGGCCCCTGCAAGCCCTGAGAACCATGGGTTGAGTTCTCTCACAGAGTCCCATCAGCCTCCCTGCCAGAGAGAACCAACAGAGAAACCAAGAGCCGCGAGCCCCAGCTCTCACAGAATGCCCAGCGCTGCGTCTGTGGAGTGAGCAAATCTGAGAAATCCCATGACTCTCTGCCAGAGGCTAACAATACTGATGAGTTTCAGCTCTGGAAGGATTTCCTAGGGCAGCTGCCAGAGCCATGAGACCTGACACAGAAAGGTTCACAATGAAAACCCTGCTGGTGTTTCAAATTTCTGTCAACTTTCTAACAGATCAGACTAAACATTTTAAATTTATCATCAGCTATACACTGGCTAGTCCCAAGCTACACTATTCAGGGCTCTCATCTCAGTATCCTTGCCCAGCAAGTTTTAGACTTTTCCTTTGGACTTCCCATCCTAGTTTCCTCACTGCTCCAAGTCCCAGTCTTTTTGCATAACCATTCTCAGTTCCCGTTCTACTAGTTTCATGCCCAAACAATCCCCCACCAGTTTCTCCTTAGATACATTTCCCACACCAGTTTAGCTTCCAATCAGCTTCCCAGCCCCTGCCCTCTTTC